CTGCTGCTTAACATTCGTTGATGATTAAATCCAAAAATGAATAATCAAAACTATGTTTTTTTTATCGTACAGACTTCAGTAATGATGACTGAGGCTAGGCTTAAAATTCAAAATGGTTCAATTTGACTGTAATTTTCAACACATTCTCTTTACATTATCTAGTTTTTAACTATTATAGCGAGAACAGTCAACTCATTATCCAATCTCCCATAAGGTATCTTTAAAGGAAACAAACACTGTCTAATACAGTTATAATTTCATATCCATATTCAATTATCAGAATTTGAATATGTTAGTGTTGAATTAATCTGCTTTAAAAACCAGTTTAACTAAGTAAGAACTCAATTAAATTCCTTTAATTAGGGAAAACTGTGTTTCAAGTTAATGAAATTAGGTCTCTCCCAAGTTTTATTCGGATAGTTCTGAATGTAACATTTAATTCAATAGTATATTTATTTCCCATCATGGATCCTTTCCCTATAAAGATGGGTTGAGATGAAGAAAAACATGTGACACCGCCATTTTCCCAAGAACATAACTTACTGCATACTGCACAGCTGGAGCTGGGGTTTTTAAACCAACCCGTTCAGACGACTAAGATGAACCAGTTTAAAATAAAAAGCCTTCTTGAAGACAGGTTTACTTGCCCCACATGTGCGTTCAGACGCTTAAGTTAAACTGGTTTAACGATCCCCAGGGTTTTTAAACCAGTTTAACTTAAGTGTTTGAACGGACTATTAGAAAAGAACTAGCCATTATCTACTGAATAGTGACCCAATCAAATACCTAATAGTCTGTTCAGACGCTTTAAAAACTCTGGCTCCAGCTCGCTTTGGACATGCGCAGTACACAGTAAGTTAGATTCCTGGGAAAATGGCAGCGTCATGCAGTGCCAGTGTTATCAAAAGTGTGCGAGAACTGAATAAAGAATATAAAGCTACCCATGCGTAGTTAACTCTAACCTCCAACCGAACAGGACAGAATAGTTAAACTGGTTTGGGTTATAGTACGTGTGAACGCAATATGACCCTGTCTTAAAAACCCTGGTGATCTGAACAGTATATAATATTCATCTCGGCCTGTGATCTGAAAACTGTCAATTTAAAAGTAAAGTCCGCTAGTGTGAATTTGACAGATAAATCAGATAAATTTATTGTTTGCCCCTGGTAAGTCGTAGATCATATTGAATAACACGTATTAAAAGCTAAATATTAATTAATTAAAAGGCATTAAATACAAGAGACAAAATCCAATAATATTACACCGTATTGAATTACTCAACATTTTTTTATTTTTTTTACAATACAATTGTCTCGTATATCATAACATTTTAAACAAAAGAATATTATTTTTGCAAAAAGTCATTTAATTAACAAATTTCATTATGTGATATGTATACAGAGACAAAATCAATCCCATTTGTTTTCTTAAAAGGTTTGTCGACTGTTTAGAAACGGAGCATCAAATTCTGTTCAAATTTTTATTTTATTTTTTTATTAAGCTTTTTTTCTTTTGTTTTTATTTCACTTTTTAAGAACCAAGTGCAGTCGGAACAATATGGTGGTTACTTAATTCCAATGAGCTGATCACACTGACAAAGATAAATGGCTGACAAAAAAAAAAACGGCCAGCAGTCGCATTACCGGCAATGATTTTATTGGGAAGTATTAAAAGAAAAGCTGTCAATACAAACAGTCTGCTAAAAACATAGAAAGAAAACAAATGGTGGTGGCCATATTTTCACTTTGACAATATGTTAGGTTATTAACAGTTAAAAGCTTTCTGTTCTTAATCAGGAAAAAAAAAACCTCTGACCACAACAACGACGAAAGAAATCAAATCAAATAATCGAATGTACAATTCTTTCTTGGAGTTGGTTTTTTTACAGATGTCCCACGAGGATTGTTCGTCATGAAATAAAATCAAGTTGAGTACCTTGGTGTATATACTTCTTCTCGTCTAACTATTTTTAGTAGTCTAGTCGACAATACGAAAAAGCTTTTTAAAGGCTAATTATATAACCTTGAGACAAAATGACATTTGGAAAGTAACCCTCTTGGCAAATACAATTCATTGTTTTAGCTTGATTTGCCAATAAAATTCACTCATGCAAATACATAACAAAACCCAAAAGCACAACTCCATTCCAAATCTATTTCTATTACCGAACGCGTAAATGAAATGGAATCATGTCTGATTTGTCGATGATGAATTGGAAATGGTGAATTATTAATAAGAGGAAGATTGTAAGAGAATTATAATGACTGTGTATTAATATGAATTGTTTGGTCGTGCTGACCGTGCTATATAAATTACACAACACAACTAAAACCTATAATAATCATCATATTACCATAGTCTTTACTATAAATAAAATGAAATGGGTTTTAACGTCCTACTGTTCTGCTCAGACTGGGCTAATGAAGATGGGCATATACGCCATACAGGTGCTATGAGGGAAATTTTGCCCAGGCAGTGGTACTATGGCCTACTCTTATATTGAATTTCAACTGCCAGGACCTCAGTTTTTCATACCATCCGAACGACTAGACAGCTGTCCTTGTCAGGCCCTTTGTCCTGCACCACTGATTACTTGAAATTCAGGTCTGGTTGGATGGCGAATGGTTAGCGCGTGCATGCTGCATAATAAGGTCTGTCATTGAGTCAACTGGCGTGGTTTTGATTCCCCGGTTGTATGTGACAAGGAGTAGGGTCGCCTGTCCAACCTTGTGGGTTTTCTCTCAAGGCCTTCTGGTTTTCTCCCACAGCTCAAGACGCCTACGTGCAAGCAAATTTTTGAAATAAAATTGAACCATATGTCAGTCCCAAAAAGTTTGTGTCAAGTGGAGGTTAAACCTCATTTTTCCCTCTCCCTCTCTCTCTCTTGAAATTCAGATTAAAAAACTGGCCTAAAGTTCCATTTTAAAATTCGCAAAAATTGATTGAGCAGTCTCATGATTTTCTACTTATAATTAACCAATGGCAATCAAATTATAAGAAACATAATCTCTACGCTACTAGAATGAAAACTACACAACCAAACTTTAAGCAAGATTAAACACAATCTTTCAGCCATGTTGAGTAGTGAAATGAAACATTGGGATTGAAATATTTCAAAAGATTTTTGGCAACAACAGACACCTAATCAAATACATCAATTTAAATCCAGATTGCTGAATTTTTATAGAGGTTTTAATTGGATAGCACTGGGGTTCGATCAAAAATACGAAATCATTCACCCTGGTAAATTTCTACAATATAATACGGTAAAACCACCGTGGCATGCAACAACACAAATGAGAAGAAATTATTGGCAATGTATGCACCATGGGATATGAAATCCCCCAGATCAACTCAGCCAGACATAAACAATGTTCGGGCATGGATAATCACTACAAATGTCAGCGCAAAAACAATCACATTACAAATAGTATATTGAATGAGGCCAAGCATAAAACTAGGATTTGCTTCCCATCACAGAAATAATTGCTATAACATGATAATTACCCGAAACAAAGCTTTCGTCATTCACTACCAATAAGTCCATCAAATACGTGTGGCTTTACATTTATATTATTCATATCAATATTAAATACAAAACATTAAACATTGTTTTTTTCCCATTCCTTTTATTCCAGCAAAGCTATCATATTCAAAGGCTAATCAAAGGCTTTCTGTATTATAAGAGTAGAGGTGCTTATGTATTGTGTGTAATAGCAAAGCTGTTTCTCTCTCTGTATCTAGCTGAGCAGAGGCCATTAGTGTTCGGAGCATCACTCTTTAGTTTCTGATTATTCTAATAATGTATCTATTTGTTTGTCGTTGGGATAAAAATTCTTTTCAATCATCACAAAGTGATCGTTAATTTTCTTCATAGCTGAATAACTTTTCTTAATAGCGACATTACCTCCCAGTCATAAGATCTATTGAAATGGATCGCATCCAAATCTTTTATCTTTAATACCAACAAAATGAAATAAAAGATTATACGAAAAAATTGTTCTGCTGAAAATCATTTTTTGTTACCAACATTGATTGAATATTATTGTTCTTAAAAAAGAGTTTTTATTCCATTTTATTTTTAAACTATAAAGGGAGATAAGACGATGTTTGAAATATCATGAGCAGACGCATACTTGACTCATTCAGTGAATTAAACAATTTGTTTTAATGTGTAAATGCTGCAGGTTAGATATAAATTATCTTGTTAATGCTAGGTTCCAACTATCACAATTCATGCTGCGATAGAAATCGTGGGGTAATCATGGGATTTCTCCAGGTCATCCGGTTTCCTCTCACTGCTAAAGACCTCTACGTGCAAGCGAATTATTGAAATAGAATTGAACCATATGTTAGTCCTGAAATGACCTAGTTTGTGTCAGAGTGGATGTTAAACCCCATTTCTCTCTCTCTATATCTCATGTACAGAAACTTTGGAATTGGGAGGAAGCGCACGAGCCTGGAATTGAATCCTTGACTTGCATAGACCACAGACTTTATGATCTACAGTGTGTAGATCAGACCACTTAGCGACCAAACCTCTCTGGTTGATGTGTCTGTAAGTGTTTAAATTGTTCAGTTATTGTAAATTTAATGATGGTGTGTGTATGTTCGCTGTACCGCTGAAATTTGAGATTTATTATAACAGTGATTCTCAACCAGTGTGCTGCGAGATCTTCATAAGTCTGCCGCAAAATTTTGAACGGCACACTAAGAAAATGCGAAAAACGATGTGATCCCAATTGAGTATTCAATGGTGTCAACTGATAAGTTCATAGCTGAGTTTTTCTTTATTTAGTTTGAGTCATTCTCTGTGACTATGACTAGTCTATGTTTACGGTTGTATGCCGTCTATGACTTGCCATGTTTTTATTTTGCAAAATTCAAATATTCTTCATATATATTTAGCCAGGTGTGCCGCTATTTTTTCATATGTTCCAAGGTGTGCCGTTGGCAAAAAAGGTTGAAAACCACTGTATTAGAATTATAATTGAAAATACCTTTTTCGAGGTTAATCTGTCGATCATAGTGCCTTGCGTTCTCCGCAGCCACTTTAAGTAGACCCTGTATGTTGAGCAGCAGTGTTTCGATGGAAGATATTCCCGTTGTTTCTCCATTTAGAAGTTGACTGGTATGTGACAGATTCTGATTTGTTGATTTATCGGTGGGTTCTTGTGTAAATGATGTGTCGTTGATATCTGATTTGTCATCTAAATCTGAAAATATAAAATTCAAGATAGATGTCAGAAGTCACTGTTTTTCTAAGGGACACTTGGGGCAGACCTAGTGTAGCCGCCAACCCCGAACAGAGACAGACAAACAGACAGACAAACGACAGTCACAAATATTAGTATAGATTCAATAGAATATGAATATTACAAACTGTTACAATTTGGATATTAAAAGTTAGGCAGAAATTAAAGGTCACTGGAAAAGTATTCATTTTTTTTTTAAATAATGCAAGTAATTATGTCAACATATCCGTTCCATAAGTATAAGCCGAACCCGAATGTCAATATTACCTGAAAAGGGTAAATTTCAACATTAGTAATTTCCGCCGTTCTCCGTGGGTAGTCGTAACTTTCTGTCAATAAGCAATCCGTGACGTCATTTTAGTCCTTCTGCACATAGAAATATAGACTAGAATATGAGCAGAGGGACTAAAATGACGTCACAGATTGTTTAATTACGGAAAGTTACGACTACCCACGGAGAATGGGGGAAATTACTAATGTTGAAATTTACCTGTTGCAGGTAATATCGACATTCGGGTTCTTGTTATAATTATGGAAAGGATATGTTGACATAATTACTTGCATTATTTTAAAAAATGAGCTTTAAATGGTCTCCTGGATGAAATTGCATCTGTTCATTACGGGATTAAAAACAAGTTCTTGTACTTTAAAATAACCTATTACATATATGTACCCATTGTAACCACTGCAAAATAAATAAAATCAACCAAACTACTCAACCAAATTCATTTCCAATGTCAACATATCATCAAACATGGATAAACGATTCTGAGACCATGTGATATTATTAGACAATTTTTTTGCGATGATTCCAAGCATTTACAATCATTTATGCGAAGGGTATATGTAATCTGTTCATTAGAGAAGTTTGCATTTTATGTGCAATTCTTTTTTTTAGTGAGCTCTCATCTAAATATCATTTCTGTAGTGATTATGCTGTCTGCAGTCTGCTATTTAGATCTATTATTATGAGATAACCGAAGAGCGGAGAAAGAAAAGAATTAGTAGCTACTACATCTACATACCAAACTAACCCTTTCTTACTATAAAACAACTCATCAACATCAGCAGACGCCAAAGGAATCATACAAAAATTAGAAATATTAAGTTTACTCTGTTCCGTTTTTTTACGCATTCATTAACCACTAATCAACATGTGGGACTATCATTAGGTGGCGTATTGATTTAAAAGAAATCTTTAAATTGCATCACTTCTGAAGCACATAAGCAAAAATAAATTACCCCATGTAAAGTATTCCCTTTCAAACTAACATTAATTACAGAATCGGCATATTACTGGTCTTTAAAACGCCAACTCTCGTTTGATGTTTCATTTGGGATAATATTAAAACACAAGTATTGAGATGAAAGCCGTATTATGGCTTCACTTAGTTGCACACATATGTAATGATTATTAACAGAGATGATAGTCTGGTCTGTGTAAGAGCTTACAGCATTTCTGATTTGCCCTGTATTACTTACTTAACTTACATAGTATGTAATAGTGCCTACTGTCATATTATAATAGGCATGGCTGTGGATCCGACCAATTCCAAGCGTATGTTTTCTGGTATTCCACGGGACCTAGTGAGTCTATTTATTATTAGGTTGTATAATTGCTTACATCAAAGAAATAAACATACGTTTCTTTCTCTTTGATTTCAATAATGAGGGTAGAACTTATAATAAGGTGGGTAATATACACATAAAAACTAATTAGCAAAACGACGTTAATTTTTTCCTGTTTGTCTTTATAATCAACTGCTAACGTAGTCTACTTTATTAATCGTGTACTTGGATTTCAAAGTTTTAATGAATACATGATATTGAGCAAACTTCAAAGCAAATAAACTTTAACTTTGATATCTGCAAACATTAAAATTCTCTTTTTCTTCCATCTTTCAAAATTATTTTCTAAGATTTATTTTCTCGAATCTCGTATCACTTTATCAGGTCATGTGACCAGTTAAAAGCGATGAGATTTTTTTCATGACGGGTTACAAAACGTCTGTATCTTAACTGCAGACAGCTAACAGCAGAAATCAAAGCTACTTCATCCCATATTAATTAGTGCACTTGAATCAAAACTTCTGAATCGCTATCAGGAATTATGGCGCGGCCATTTTATCACCAATTTGATATCATTTGCACAATTACTGAGCCTAAAAAATGAAACCATGTGTAAAAGTGATATTAAGTGTATATGAGTTACGTTAAATATAGAATGTAAATAGGTTTTCCATATTCCTACACCCAACCTGTTACAGTCATTAGATGAATGTTCTGTGTTTCGTCTGTCCAATGCACTTGAAATATCTCTTTCATAGATATACATTTTACTAATTGCAACATCGAGAAAATCTGCCCAGTGCGCACACACCTTTGGTTGCGATAACTTTTCACACTACCACAGATGTAAACAAGCAGATCGCTTAGCTTTCCAAACAAACACCGTGATTAATTTACTTTTAAATCATAATTTTCCCTCTCTTTCTTCGTTCATTATACCATCTGGGCCTACTTAATATACATTTTCCACGGAAAGCATAAGATACATGTAAATTCTATAATTCAGCAGCTGATATATAAATATACACCATATTTCACGGGTTTTAGTAAGTTCATCATAAGTTCATTAAATACAGCACAGGACATTAAAAAATAACCATTGCATATGATTGTCTGTTAGATCAATCATAATAATATTAATGCTATCCTATCCGTCCTAATTCAATAAACACACTATTTCACGCATTATGAATATTATCCTAAAAAATAGTCTGTATTTCTTTTGCTGGAGTTGTCCAAATATTTTCTCACAATACAGACAAGATTGACATATTTCGACCTTAAGCACCGAAAAGTAAATTCAACTTTTATGAAGTTCTCGAACTTTGCCATTAGTCATCTAGAGCCTATTTATTGTTTCTGCTCTTGTTATATTTGCCGTCGATATATTTATTCTAATTCAAATCTAATTGTCTACTTAGAAACCCCGCCAAAAAACTCCATAAATATAGGTATGCAAAAAAGCAAATAAGCAGAAAGGTGGATGCTTTTCCTCGTGTATTAATTAGGATCAATATTTCTTTCTTCTTGTTTATTTATAAAACAAAACTCACAGTGCAAATTTCTCCATCCCCTTTTATCTCTGCCTATTTCATTCACACTCGAAGAAATTTACGCTAATTTCCTTGAATACATAAACATAGATATCTAACAGAGGCTGTTAGAAAAACAAGGCAGTTTGTATTACCACGTTCTACTCAATAACCCCCAGTGTGTGCATTGACAGCATGTGAAATGAACGTTATGTCAGAAAGGCTGCGATTGACACATTCTTCATGGATATCGGAAATGACGCGACCAGTAAAATTATTAAAACAAATTATTTTGGCAGATACTCTCAGTTTTTTGCCAAAAAGATTAATATGTCACTGCCGAAGAATTTCTACGCAAAAAGTTTTGCATGTTAGATTATGACATCCCTGATATCCTCTACACTTATTGATAAGTTGGAAATATCTGGCAATTTTTATTTTCGTCATTTTTCAAAATAATCATTGATTTTTGCCATTTCACAAATGCTAGTTTTACATACATCAGGTTTTTTTTTTCTTTTACTATACATTGAGAATAAAACAAGTTTAGGTAATTAGATGAAGACAAACGTAGAAACCTTGAGTGACACTCATCACTAGACTGCAACAAACAGAAGTTTATTATTGGTTTTTTAATGTTTATTTCCGTATGTTACATTAACTGTTCTAAAAATATGACAAATTAAAGATTTGGCTATAAGATTATCTATGTAGCATGTCGACATATTATTCTCCAATATCTAAATTCAATAACGATCAGCGATTGACAATAGCAGACGACAAAACAGAAACAAAGTAGACGGCAAGAAAACTAAGTGCTTTCCTCTCGATTCACTGGAAAATGTTTTAAATAATGGAATTGGTTTCCGCTGACATTTATTTCTAATTGTTTTATGGTTTTGTATTTGGAGAAGAAAATTTAACTTTTTTTTTTTGGTCATCAAGAGGATAATCAGATTGAGAAAAGAAAATATATTAGAGACCAATTTATATTAATTGATCAACAACAATCCTATAACTTGAAATAGGAAATTAGAAGAATTGACAATAACTCAATAGACAAAGGTACAGAAAATAACTCATATAGTTGGTAATGAATTAAACTTGCATTATGCAAGAGCTAAATCTGCCTGTTGCAGGTCTTTCTTTAGGCCTGAAATGTTATATAAACTCTTGATGGCATCGGATACTCAAGATTTTAACTAGATAAGAACGGTTCGCCATTTAAGAATTTAATTTAAAAGGGGAAAGCCAGGCTAAGTCTTGAATATACCCCTGCACTGGTTACCACAATGCACACATCTTGTCAAAACTACAAACAATGATAACTTGGCTCAGAATGAAATAATCTGAATGACATTTTCAATATTTTCATTTTACATTATCTATTTTTGAGCTATTATAGCAAGAATGGTCAGCTCTTTATCTAAATCTTACATAATGTATCTTTAAACTTGTAATTCACTTGCTGTTTCCGGGTGGGTGTGGGGTGTAAAAAAAATGATTACAAAAATAGTCAATAATCACGACTAAAAATAAAACTTTTGTGAAAAAATAATCATGAAATTCTTGAGGAATATGACAACTTAATTATTTTTAGTCTCACCATACTTGAATATTTTTGATTTTTGTTTTTCAAGTTTTGCAGGCATCTCATCAAAAAGAACTCTTCCAGTGATCTAAGAAACCTCAAGTATATCTCGAGAGAATCTTTTCACACAAAGTATTTTTCAAAGCTTCAAGAATTTTCTTAAATGAAAAACATGTTATAATGTCTTGTGAATAAAAAAAAACCCAAGTTTCTTTGATTTCTTAATTATTAACTTGTAAAATAAAAAATGAATACGAAACGTGGATAATTAAGTTCAAATCTCTTAAATTCACAGAACTCAATTAGTTCTAATCTGACGCCTAATTCAATGTCGTTTGGTTTACCTGTATTGTTATCTCAATGATTTACTGCTAATGAAATAAAAAGAATTTACAGGTACAAGAAAGCAATGGAAAGGGATTCATTTACAAACCACCATATATTTTCTTGATTCCGCAATAAGAGTGGTTTGCTTTTTTAATTAAAGACTTCTTTTATTTTGTGCAAGTGGGGATGATAGATGGTACAGCAGGTAATTCTATCCGAAAACACTGGCCTCTTATCTTAATTTATTGGACTCTAAAGAATCACACAAAAGGTAAAATCAACTTTGATACATTTGGAGTGTTTTTGTTCGGACTAATTTCTTTTATTATTAGGTGACAGTCTCACAGTTTATTAAGTGTGAGCTGTAATAAGATCACAGGTCTACAGTCAAGATTTATCAACCGTATTCGGCTACATCTTAGTTTAGTCAGGATTATATTTTGTTTTTTTCTTTTCTCTTTTTGAAATAAAAAACAGAAATGCTAATAATCTTATTCAACAGGGCTTTTTTTTACATAAAATGCAATTTGTTTTTTAGTATATAAAATTTATAGCTTTTCTTTCATTTTTTTTATAGAAACAAAAGTTCACCACTACAAACCAACATTTTGAAATGTTATGGAAATCGGTTTAACACTGCTATCTTTTTGAGAAATGAAATGAACTGGGGTTTAGTGTCCTACTGTTCTGCTCCGAACTGGGCCAATGAAACGGGCATACGCCATACAGTGTGCTATGAGTGAAATTTTGCCTGGACAGCAGCACTACGGTCTACTCTTATATCGAATTCCAACGGTGAAGGGACCTTTAACGTGCAAGCCAATGTGTACATGGGTTTTTCGTACCTTTCGAATGACTGAACAGCTGTCCTTGTTCCTTGTCAGGCCCTCCATCCTGCATCACTGACAAGGGGGATATCTTTTTGAGACTATGTATGTTAATTTTCAATGCTCTTTACTTTTCCAATACCATGAACAGCAAATTGTACATGGGTGAACGTCAACAATGTTTTCCTCAACCCTGCAAGATTATCCATGTACATGACTGATTTCAAACCAAATTTCTAACCATGATTTGAAACGTTGAAACATTGTCTTGTAGGCAGAGAATATTCCCATTTTGTCAAGAAAAATAAAAAAAAATTAAAATTACCATCATCAGGATCTTCATCTGATAATTTATCATCATCCATCTCTTCTTCATCACTCCTTGGATGTGAAGATGGTTTCTGGTCCTTATAATGGCCGTTCACATGTAGATTGAGAGGTTTATTATCTGAAAACCATAATGTTAAAAATATAACGTAAATAACGATACTGAAGATGATAATCAACATAATGATAATGATACTGAGGAAAGCAGAGAAAGATACAGATTACTAGTCTGAAATATCTGACCTCTTCAGGGCCCCTGATAGTCTGAAATATCTGACCTTTTCAGGGCCTCTGATATTCTGAAATATCTGACCTCTTCAGGGCCCCTGATAGTCTGAAATATCTGACCTCTTCGGGGCCTCTGATAGTCTGAAGTATCTGACCTCTTCAGGGCCTCTGATAGTCTGAAGTATCTGACCTTTTCAGGGCTTCTGATAGCCAGGAGAGAGAAGCTTTTTGCTGTGTTTACTGGGGGAAATCTGCCTACTGAATTCTTTAGAATCAACACTAGGTTATTTTGTATATTTTATCATGAGAACTGCCACAGGATTCATATTTGACTGGAGACATTGTCTAGCACGACAAAGTTAAAAAGCTAAAGAACTGTTCTTTACAGATGTGTATGAATTATTTTGTGTTTTGCTTTTTTCATCATCCAGTAATTGACCCCAGTAAACAAGAACTAAGGGGCTATTAAAAGCCTGGTAGGGTCAGATATTTCTGAGTAACAAGAGAGGTGGTGCTTAGACTAGATGGCTTTGAACAGAACATGATAAAAAAAAGACAGCAAAAAGATAACTTAGAACACAACACAGTATATAGGACAGATTAACCTAGAAGGTAGCTAAAACCAGAACATGTTATAGAACAGATCAACTTAGAAGGCAGCTAAAACATGTTAGAACAGATCAACCTAGAAGACAGCTAAAACCAGAACATGTTATAGAAAAGATCAACCTAGCAGACAGCTAAAACCAGAACATGTTATAGAACAGATCAACCTAGAAGACAGCTAAAACATGTTAGAACAGATCAACCTAGAAGACAGCTAAAACCAGAACAAGTTATAGAACAGATCAACCTATCAGACAGCTAAAACCAGAACATGTTATAGAACAGATCAACTTAGAAGGCAGCTAAAACATGTTAGAACAGATCAACCTAGAAGACAACTAAAACCAGAACATGTTATAGAACAGATCAACCTAGCAGACAGCTAAAACTAGAACAGATCAACACAAAAATAAAACAATAAAGACTATTGAATAGTACAGAATAAATTAGCCTAGAAGACAAATAGCCAATATTAAAGTTATAGCAATGAACAATATAAATGTGACAAACAATATAATTTTAAGTTGGCTTATATTACCAATATTTAACTTGTAATATTTAACAAGTTCTTTAACTTGACTTCATTTAATCAATCACTTCAAGCACCACAAATATTGATCAACTTAATTCTAAAATAGTCAACAAGTGGGGACCAATGGAGAATGTCTTACATTAATCCTTTCATTTTGTATAATATGACATTTATAATTTCAAATTAGTATGGTTCAATTTTTTAATTCTGTAAAAATATGTCAAAGAGATCTCTATCAGGGTGATTAATCCACTCAACAGATTAGAAATGACGATATTAAGGAACAAAAAATACTCAAATCTTTATATTTTACTATTTATCGTTATCTGTCAACAGTTGGATAAATGACTTTGAAAAACTAAAAAAATCTTCAACCACAAATTAATGATACCAAATGAACAAAGTTGTCATGCACTGTTAACAGTAAGCATTTAGTAGGGTCAAAATATGAAAAAAATACACACACATCAAAAAAATTGTAATAAAATTATTATGGTGTATTTCTGTAGTATAAGGTCCAGACAACAACATATCAAAAGTTGTCTGAAATTGAGCTACCGCAAAGGGTCTAATTATGACGTCAAAAAAAATGGCTGCAATTTGACCAAAATCCCTTTTTTCCGCTCATGTTCTATCAAAGCTGTTGTTTTAAAAGGCTTAGGTGTAAAACAATGCTGTTATAAAACCAATATCTTAGTAATTCATCACGGATTTCTGACTTTTTTTGGGTGATAATATATGTGTAAACCGACCATAAACCGTGGCCCGGCATTTCTATTGCAGCAACTGCCCAGTATGGTGCGAAATTGAGTTAAAATTCCCGGTCTAATTAGGAATTTGGGCCAAATGGCAGCCATTTTTTTACGTCATAATTTTACCCCTTGCGGTGGCTCAATTTTGGCCAAATTTTGATATGTTGTTCTCTGGACCAAATATTATAGGAAAATGCAATAAAACGTTTTCTTGTAATTTTTTTAAAGATTATTCTGCAATTTGACCTGACTAATTGTAAGATTCATGAACTAAGAAATAGAATCAAAGACAGAATTTTTGTTAAAGAAAAGTACTAATAGAATGAAGGCACTATGAACCAAATAAAATGAATTTGGGAAAAAAAGCATTAAATAATGAAAAATGAAATAAGGATGAACTAGAAAACTTGCATTTCATGAGTTGCAGTGCAGGATACATACTGGTATATAGACTTCCTAGGCCTTTATGTAACGAATGGTCGTTATTGTACGGTGAATTTGGGTTGTATGTTCTTGGATTTCCTTCAATCACATCATCACGAGTCCTGGAAAACAAAAATATTACATTCAATCTCAAAAAAATATTTCCGGTGGATTTGGGGGGCCGAATGGTTGAGTGTGCGCGTTGTATCATAAGGTCTGTCATTGAGTTAACTGGTGTGGTTTCGATTCCCCAGTTGTATGTGACAAGGAGTAGGGTCGCCTGTCCAACCTCATGGGTTTTCTCCAGGTCCTCTGGTTTCCTCCCACTGCTAAAGATCCCTACAGGCAAGCGAATTATTGAAATAAAATTGAACCATATGTTAGTCCCAAAATGACCTGGTTTGTGTTGAGAGGACCTTAAACCCCATCTCTCTTTCTCTCTGATGAATTTGTAATATTCAAATATTAAGGGGGGGGGGGGGTAATTCTAAATGTTTTTAGTCTCAAATGCAGTTGGATTATTGATATGATTGTATCATTTGGTCCACAGATCGTTAACTGACTGTAAGGTGATCGTATCATTAATCATTATTTCAAAGTTTAGAATAACTTTTTTGAGAAATTGAAACAATATTTCATTACAGGTTTTATTTCTTAGAAAGGAAAAACTGACCCCTTAAATATATGTGTGAAAAATTTTATATAATATTTGATGACAGAAAAAAATATTGCAATAGACAGAGTTAACTCTTGTATAATATTATAATTACAATGTGATTAAAACACAGATCCTATTTCGCTTCGTTTGTGGACGGTGGTGACGACAATATACGACCACATTTCAATGGGGGCGTATAAAAAACGAAATATAGATCTGTGTTTTAATCAGGTTGTTATAATAAAATACTCTATTAAATATGTTTCAAATTTTAGATTCAGAATGCATCGTAAATGATTCATAAGTTTGGTATTTTAAATTGTTTTATTTAGTGAATCATTCTCAATTTCACTTGTTTCTTTACAGAAAATATATCCAATACCTTTTTAAATGAAGCCGATCTGAATTCATATATATGTGTACATACAATTCAAATCACTGTTTATTTTCACGGTTTCAAACCTTCAAAGAAAAACGCCTAACTTTCATGTGTTATACAATCGGCTGACACTATCGCTAAACCTGTACAATGTAAGCGCACACACACACAAAAAAAAGAAAATAAGTCAAACTAGTAACTTATAAATAAAAAAATGATTTCAAAGTAAATTTAATCAAAAAACTTGTTGTTGATGTAGCTTCCCACCCAACCTAAGATTTCAAACCGGTGTTCTATTCATTTGTGTAGATTTCAAACAAGCATGTGTACACACCCTGTGTTATATGACTGGTGAACATAACATCACCTGTTCCCAACTACATCAAAATATGTAATGCATCCCAAAAGTTTTCAAATTCCCTGGGCCTCATGTTATTAGGAAAATATGTGTTCTCTTTAAAAGCTAAACAATATTAAAAGGAATTAGGCATTTCTTTCAGCGGGTCTTTTTTAAGCGTATGTTCCAAAGAGTTCACTGTATTGCATTAAGGCATTTGAGACGAAATTATTGCGTTCTATTCCACCTGATGATGTCCATATGTCGCCCGTACAATAGATTCCATTTGTCAATCTCATTTATTAGAAACAAGCGTAAAAATGATTTGCAATGAAACAATTGACGATTAACTTTTCAACTTGAAGACTCTATTTATAAATGGGAGTATATCGCCAATGTTTTATGACTTTCACATTATAAATGATTTGAAAATGAAAAACATAACTTGCACGTTAGCCAAGTTATATAAATAAAATATGTTTACAAAACAATAGAATATAAAAGAAATAATTATTTAGCCGCAGTGGGTGGCGCTGAGTCCCTAAAACAATCGTGACATTTCGAGGTGCACTTACATACTGATTGCTTACTACCTTCATAGCCTCCTATAAATAAAATTAAACTTTTGGGAGAATTTTTTTGTCCATGGGCTCCCTTCCGGTTATGAGTTGACGTCGTTTAGTACTAAAAGATTAAGGTGTGTCTAAAGGGGAGGAGGAGTTAAGATCTGTCAATCATACTACATCTAATTATATTAACAAATGTGTGCATTTACGAACATTTACATAAGAATTGGTGTGACAAAGTAGAACATCAGTGACTGTGAAACACCCATTGTGCACCAAAACATTAAAGGAAACCACACATTCCTACTATCCAATATTTTCCCAAATTTAATAGAATCATTCGTTTATTATTTTTTGATAATTCTTAAATCGAAAGTAGCAGAATTGAGCTCATTTACTCGATGACCTGACAAGAGTAAGTTGTATTTGAACAGGCAGGATATCCTTACGCACAAATCACCCATTTAATTCATTTCATCTTAGACTACTTGAACTAAACAACATCTTGGAGAACTCTATCTTACTTGTATATGTAAAGCACATTTTGAGCCTGTGGTGTACCCGAGGAACCATGGGTTATTAAGTACGCCTGCTAGCTCTACCTTCACGATTCCTGAATTCTTAAGCTCATCAACCCCTGTTCTACTGACAGCGCTTACAAAATTACTTTTCCACTTTACTCTATGTTATTCCTTGTTTTCAAAACTTTGTATTCTTAACATCTGTTTATGTTTGCCATCAAGGAGAGACTTTATAAAAGAGACTCGAGTCCACGTGTTTTGAGATTAGCTCGAGAGTTTTGAAAACAATCTGGGTTCCATCTTGGAAGTTGTGCAATCAGTCTCTGTGTCGGAATGAAACATGCCAATAACTATGAAGATAAATGTAATTACGTTCTATAGGTAATGTAAATGTTGATTTTTTGTATGCATTTCCAATGTGTTCACCAGATTCTTCTATTCATTTTAATAAAAAATTGGTACATATGCTAAATTTTGGTGGAATAAAGAAACATAATGTATGAAATATGACTTTTTTTCATACACCTGTGTTGTGAACTAAATTTCATAGGTCACAAATACAATAATATTGTATTAATAAAATAATAATCATTTCATTGACATTAAACGTGAACAGCCATTTCTCAAAATGGAAACAGATATAGATTAAAGATACATTATGGAAGATTAGATAAAGAGCTGACAGTTCTCCCTATAATACCTGGTAGATAAAAATAGATAATGAAAAGGGAATATGTTGAAAATTTCAGTCAAATTGTTCCACTCTGAACTGAGATATTAGCATTTGAATTTTTGGATTAAATCATTAATGAGCGTTGAGCAGCAAATCAGATTCAAATCCAGTGAAAATTCGACACATAAGATGCCACGAGAGTTGATTAAGGTTTTCTCATGTGAATAAATGTCTAATTAATAGTTTAGATAACATTTCAGGACTAAAGAAAGACCTGTAATAGGCAGATTTAGCTCTTGCATAATGTATGTTTAATTAAATAACTGAATTTTTGAAATTTACCATACAACTAAAGATGTTCTTTATCTTTATCACCAACTCGCATTTGGAGCTTTGATTATAGTTTGGACCAATGGAACTGAATCCATTCTTGGCAATAAATCAGTTTTAAAGCGAAAGATACTCAAAAGAACTTTTTTTTAATGCTATTAATTTAATAAATCTTATTTACCTTGATGCCATTAAGTCTGATTCTGAACTTGAGCGATCTTTGATGATGGAACCGTCTGGTCGTAATCCGAGGTGAGAAGCCATCGCAATGGAAACAGGGGGCGCTATCATCGGGTGTCCCAGGTGCATAAATGGCAGTGGTCCCAGGGCATATGGATGGTGTGGAAAACCATTGAGTAATGCTTTGCGGTCTGAAAAAAAAAGAGAGCAGACAACATTAAAATATGAAAAAATTAAATCATGACAACAAAACTATACCTCTTTACATCATTTGATGAATTCTTTTTATTTATACACTTTTCCATCTCTTGTAATTTCTCGCTAGATTTCTACTTTCTCTTTCAAAAACTGGTTCAAAACAAAACTTGGAATGATCTTCAAATTAATCCTACATTAGCAACTAATTATTTTACATAAAAGATACATTATGTAAGATTTAGATAAAGAGCTGTCCGTTCTTGCTATAATAGTTCAAAAATAGATAATGAAAAATGAATATATTAAAAATTTCATTCAAATTGCTCCCTTGCGAGTGGAGATAATAGCCTTTGATCAGGTTTGATCAGATGTGTGCATAAACTGTAACCACCGTGCTGGTTGTTCAAAGCTAAGTCTCGCTTCTCCATTTTTGAATTAAATCAAAATATGGCTAAACCATTCTGATCTATTTAATATCGGAGATTTTTGGATGGCATCGAGAGTTGATTATGGTCTTGTCGTGTTAATAAATGTCTAATTAATAATTTAGAAAACATTACAGGCCTAAAGAAAGTCCTACAATAGGCAGATTTAGCTCTTGCATATTGTATGTTTAATTAATATTATGAGCCATTTTTTGACGTACATTGGTAAAGTATTAATCTAGGATAACACTCCCGTAACTTGATGAAAGATTACTACCCAATTAAACAACATTTGTCTTATACACCGCTTCCAATTATCTATGGATAGAGGTAGGAAAAACAGTAAAATGTGATGATTCAACTTATATCATACTAAATCCAATTAAATCTTATTTCGTTTCATTTTTTTATAAGTCAAAATTTCGTTTTACTTGTCTTTACTACACTAGGGTCTGGAAGAGTTGTTATATAACCTGGGTTCTGGAATCTGGATGATGTGCTAACGAAACGGTCTGTTACGGAGACCTTCATGTAGTACGGGACATTGAATGTATAAAAAATTAAAACAATCTGTATTTTAATCAGATTGAGTTATAATCCACATCAACTTATACCCTGTAAAATATGATAATCGATCGAAATACAAAATGTTGTCAAACGTTTTCTTTTCAGAAAAATCATAGCTTCTACTACTAATAAACAGCTTGTATTCACGTAATTTATTTTTTTTTAAAGTTAAAGTAGCTAAGTCTCTAACCCAATATCATCCAAAATCTTCAACACTGAAAACACGATTTATTTGTCAAATTAAATCAACATTCATGTTGTGATCTTACCGGGAAAAGATGGGCTTGAGACTGCTGGCTTATTTTCGCCGAACATAACTGATTTGAAATTGGAGTAAAAACGGAAACCATTGAATGTAAATCAGTTTATATACATTCATACTACAGTATTATATGCGTTGCGACCCACTTTTGTCAATTTCTAGGTCCCAAATGTTAGTGATTTAGCTCCTTTAATATAAAATTCTTGTATTAATGATATTTTATGTATTTTTAGAATACATTTATTCACATGTATTAAAAAGCAGTTAAAAAAATCCGAACATTTTCATATTCATGTACTTGTCATCTTTGACAGAATTGACTGACAACTGACAGTCACTCCTGACAGAAGAATAAAGATATATTGTAACGAATAAAAACAATATTAGCAAATTAAATTTATGTAGACCTTTAATAAAAAAAATATATAACTCTAAATGTTGTTTTTTTATATTAAAAATATGTAAATATAACGGAATTAATTTCATGAACAATCAATCACGTCAAATGTTTTATTTCTTTTGAGTTTATTCCCTGGTTTGTAATTGGTGGCTCTGTGATGCTGGCTCACTAATAGCCTGTTCACACCCTTAAGTTGAACTAGTTTTAAAACCCTGGGGATCGTTAAAGCAAATAAACCAATTTAAAAACCCCAGCTTGAGAATTATCTTCAAGAAGGTTTTTTGTTTTGAACTGGGTCATCTTGGTTGTCTGAACGGGTTGGCTTAAAACCCCCCCGCTCCAGCTTGCTTTGGACATGCACAGTATGCAGTAAGTTACATTCCTGTGAAAATGTCAGGGTCAGGCAGTGCCAGTGCTATCAATAGCGTGCGAGAACCGAATAAAGAATATAAAGCTACCCATGCGTAGTCGACTCTAAACCTCCGACCAAAGAGGTCATAATAGTTAAACTGGTTTCACTTATAGTACATCTGAGCGCAACACAACGCTGTCATAAAAACCTCAGTGATTTTGAACTGGTTTAAAAACAAGCGTCTGAATGGTATATTTCTTGGAAGTCCTTGGTCCGATCCCGGTGTTGATTTTCCAGCATGGTTCCTTGTTGGTGCAGGATGCAGGGTCTAGCATGAAAGAGTATCTAGTCGTTCGGATGGGATAAAAAACTGATATCCAGTATACACGTTGGCATGATGTAAAAGAACCCTTGACAGTTGGATTCTAAATAATAATCTAAATGGGGCCTCTATCACAAGAAGATAACCCAAAGTTGATGTCTCTACCAGATGAAGATAACCCATGTGAATATCAATTTTCTCTTTTCTAAGCAAGTGAATTGATTATAATTGTTTAGCAATAATAATATAGTGTTATTTCACTCTCTTAGCCTTTAGGAGAAAGACAGAGAAATGGGGTTTAACGTCCACTCGACACAAATTAGGTCATTTCGGGACTAACACATGGTTCAATTTTATTTCAATAATTCGCTTGCGCGTAAGGGTTTTTAGCAGCGGGAGGAAACCGGAGGACCCAGAGAAAACTGACAAGGTTGGACAGGCGACGCTACTCCTTGTCACGTACAAACGGGGAATCGAAACCACGCCAGTTGACTCAACGACAGATCTCATGATACAACATGCATGCGCTAACCATTCGGCCATCACACACACACACTATCTTAGGTTAAATCCTGAAATTGCATAAACAATATAAATATTTATCCCTTGATGAATACAGATGTACCCCCATCAGTCAAACAGATGTTTATAACATAAAACATTTTAAAATAAAAAAAAATAATTCATCCTTGTTCCGATAATGACAAGATCATACTAATAATAAATATTACTTTATGTCCGAGTTAAGCTTTTGCCCACAATTAACAAGTGAATGTATGTCAATATATTAACTCCCCTGTCACCTCTTAGCCGTATGAAATAGTGTCATTTATAACAGATAGAGTCCACCATTTTACCGAACTTCAAAGAAATACGAGAACATTTGTATGACAACTGTATATCCAGAAACCTTAAATACCCTGACACTTATACATAAATAAAACTCAGCCAAATAACAAAATTGTCAAATTGTCACTAATATGTTTTTTTTTTTATTTTATTACAAATTGTATGGCAGAGAGACGTTAATATTATGCAAGTTTTTATTTATATATATTCATTTATCAAATAACATAAAAATAAATCAAGGTTTAGTATGAATATATAAATAAGGTTACGACTCTAATAACAGACAAATATATTTATTTCTATCTTTTATTTACAGACTTTGAAATATTTGATATACTTGATAGGATATAATCAAGTCCATCAGAAAAAACATTATTCAAATTAATCAATTCTAACTTAAGGCACAGCTATCTAAAGTTTCTATTCATTTCACACTGCCATCTTTATGTGTCTTACACAAATAAGTAATAACAATTCTATCTTTTTTGTACAAGCCAGACAATTCTTTATGAAGGGTTTTTTTTGGTGGGGGGGGGGGTTACTTGGGGGGTTGGATGGCCGAATGGTTAGCACGTGGGCGTTGTATCATAAGGTCTGTCACTGAGTCAACTGGCATGGTTTCCATTTCCCGGTTGTACATGACAAGGAGTAGGGTCGTCTGTGCAACCTCGAGGGTTTTCTCTGGGTCCTCCGGTTTCCTCCCACTGCTAAAGACCCACACACGCAAGCGAATTAATGAAATAAAATTGAACCATATTTTAGTCCCGAAATTACCTAGTTTGTGTCGAGTGGATGTTAAACCCCATTTCTCTCTCTCTGTATCTTTATAAATTTGGAGCCATAGTGGATCAGTGAGCATCCCATTGACTCCTGATCAAAAGTATGATGTTAAAACCCATTTGTTTAATTAAATTAACGATCCTTATCTAAACATAGGAAGCCCAAATGTACAAATATGGTACCTGACTCCTTATCAAGAGTATGATGTTTAACCCCATTTGTTTAATTAACTTAGTGATCATTATCTAAAAATTGGAAGCCCAAATGTACAAATAAGATACCTGTCTTCACAAGCCCATTTGGTGCAATAAAGTTAAACCTAAGTTCCAGACATTTGTGTGGTTATATTTGACAATGAAAGTAATCCTGCGGTAGATAGATGTAGCAGGGTTTAATAGGTGTTTTATTCTAGGACTAGTTATTATCTAGTTTATACAGACAAATGGAATTCAACACCTTAATTAATGCGCTTACAGTCTAAACGTATAGTTAATACAGTGATAATAGCAGCTGAGAAAATAGAGATAATACGACCACTACAGTAGATGAATACAATAAATCATTTCTTTCCTGTTTGCTAAAGCAGCAAATCACTATGCTCATTACATTTCAATCACTGTCCACACATGTATTAACTTTCTGTTTGTACACATTAAGGTAATCTACTTTACCATATAAGTTTGATAAATTCACGAACGTATGCAACTCAACCGAGCAAGTGGGCATGATTATTGAGTTTTGAGGCTGATGAGAGCACTTGCGACTGTCGTGTGGAAAGCTATTGTTTGATTTTTATGCGAATACTGTCCTTGAATCAAATTGCACGATCTTAAGAGAGGGATTGATCAGAAATAGAAAACGTTGTTTCCTCTACTCATGTCCATTTAAATCAACATTATAAGAAAACGAAGCCCTACATATTGGCATGGACCTATTATAACTTTCCGGCTTTCAAGACAAGACCATTTTTCTCAAGACAAGAGAAGAGAGACCTAGAACAATAGAATTGTATTTGGTTTCATTTCTATTTGTGGGC